GGCTTATTTAATCGATTTTAGAGTCTACTAATATGTAGAAAATACACATAATTTTTTTCTCCCCAACGAACTGTGCTTTTAATCCCCGAAGGGGTGGTTGCCCTGACCCCCGCCCCCACCCCCGCTGGCGCCACCCCTGGGATACCATCAAGACCGTGGTTTATATCACGTGGCTTTGTGTCAGAAAAGTTTTCAACACACTGAACAATTCTTTGCTCACTTGGAGGAAGTTTCTGAAGCCTCTTGGGTCTTTTCTATTTAACTCTACTAGTAAGTGTTCATACTGTCTAAAATATGGACGACGTAAGAGCCATGGTTGTACCCATACAATTTGTTTAGGCCTATGCATTCGGCGTGACCGTGACGCTTACTCTTGATTATCAAAACTGTAGCAGCCAACAAATTATTTTCTTCTATAGCAGCAACTTGCAAATATTGATGGTGTTTGAACAGTGCGCTTTTTTTGTCATGTCATGTGATGTTTGTTTTTGTGATGTGCGTCTTGTTAAATCGTGCTAACGTCGTGCTTTCCTCTTTGTAAAATCGTAGTTACGTCGAATTAAAATGTTGGTAAGTCGTAGTACGTCGTCACTATCGTCGTTATAATTCGTAAAAATGTCGTCGCACCATCGCATTAGTGCCGTAATACACCTTGACAGCGTCCTAGTAGCGTCTTGATGAAACGTAAACCTTGAAATTTTTGAGTACGAATCACTACGATAGAGCGCGGTTTTAAAACTTTTTAAAATCGTGCTCCATCGTATCATAAATCGTGAATGTGGGAAAGGGGAGTAAAATCGGGGAACAGTGAAATTCACTGTTCCCTGAGGGAGCAGTGTTGGTAAAATCGTAGTTACGGCGTAATAAATTACTTGTAATTCATAGTACGTCTTGACAAATCTTTGTCGTAACTCTGTCGTTATTCGTAACAATGTCGTCGCACTATAGCATCACTGACGTAATACATGTTGACGTCGTACTAAAAAACCTGACATTTGATTGAACGTTTTAAGTACGAAAATCTACCGTAGCAAAAATCGTGAATGTGTGAAAGGGGCATAGCAATATTGTGCCGCCTCTAGAAACTTAGCAGCCTATACATAATGTATGTAAGTTAGTTTCTTTCGACAAGATTGCCATATTATACTAAATTATTATTATTAAATTGGATTTTTAAAGGCCGTTCAGGTTCCTACCATTATATACACCACTCCTCTAAAAGATTTATGACGATCCATTCATTAGCCAGTAACGTGCACCAGGACCAAAATAACTGGACTCCTTAGTATTGGTTTTATTATGTAGTTTCGATTCTACAGAATCAATTATAACACTTTTTGTCCAACCTATAAGTTAAAGGTGATTATTCAAGTTTGTTTCTTAAACATTACAAATCGAGTTTTTCCTTCTTAATATAGACAGCAGCTTAGCTCAGTCGGCTAGGCTGGTGGCAGTTACTGATGTGTGCCATGGACCGTGGAGATCTCTTATGTCCCCGGTTCAATGCAGTATTATTATTTTAGATCAAATTTGCGTAGGAAATGTAATTATATGAGCTTAAACCTCATTCCGATGTTTGCTCCTGGACCCAATCCGGCCTCATAGCGGTGTCGATGGGAAGGAGGAGACACACATTTCACATTATTATTTCACAATCGGTGCTAAATTGGCTTCCAAACAATGTATAGGTGATTTTGTAATTTTCGTTACTCACTCGTACTCCGCTAACCCCTCCACTCCAAAATGCAGTCACTAGGCATCTGTAAGTCAGTCATACCGTTACATAATTAGGTCTACGGTTACGCGGTTACACTGGTTTTTTTTTTTTGGTTTTTTTTTTAATGGAAACCTTATCGTGTTATATTCGTTCTTTAATTGTAAAACAAAATCGTTGTTTTGGGTTCAGTTACACTTTGAAGTAAACCGTCAAATGTGTGTTGATTTCTTTACCGAATGTAGCTATCCCTCAGCAGCTTGCTAAATGAAGCTGGAAAGTCAATACCCTCAACTACACAGTTGCGCTGTTTATTTTACCGTATCATTACACAACTGACCAATCAGATGAAAGCTTCTTGCTGACTAGCAACAGAGCGAACGAGAGTAACCCACCCCCTGATTGGCAGAACAGCACGGGTGGTTTTTAAACGAACAGCCGATTCGTCAAAACTCATTAAAAATAGGATCTTCAAGTTGTCACCTAGCGGTGACAGACCCGATGAATCAAGTATTAAAGATTGAATTTTAAAAGTGTCTTGAGATAACTATCATCTTCTGCCTAAGACCAGACAGTGTTATTATCTGCAGTTTTCTCAGATATGAAGACTTCAATTCGCTAATAATTTGTAACCACTACAACATGTAATAGTAAAACATGCGGAACTTTTAAAAGTATATCAAGATATTGGGGTGTTTTTAATAATTATTGAGACTTTCTGCAATTAAGACATTGCAACTCAGCAACTAAGAATGAAGACAAAGACATCACAGGACGTTTCTTCCTCTAGGCTACCAGGACAACCGCGCAAACATTTAAGAACCCCAAAATGTGCCCGATGCCGAAACCACGGCGTGGTTTCCTGCCTAAAGGGTCATAAACGGTTTTGCCGATGGCGGGATTGTCAGTGTGCGAACTGCCTGCTAGTTGTCGAACGCCAGAGGGTTATGGCTGCCCAGGTAGCACTACGCCGGCAACAGGCTAGTCTACCAGAAAAGGATTGTAAACTTGGAAAGACGGATAAAACATGTACAGTAGGCCTAACCAGGCGAACTCAGAAGACACTAGCTAGAAGTGCAGTTTTAAGTAAAGATGTTTTACAAGGTAAGAGAGAATTTTTTCCCATCTAAACACTCTTATTTATTTGTGTTTTTCTGTTAAACTTACTAAATACTTAGTGTAAGTACTTAGAATCCCCCTCCCCAACTATCTTATTCCTAATTACAACCCATTGACGCTGGTCGTTCACATAACCCGATGCAATATGTATAGCAACATGTTCCTTAAACTGTCATGTCCACAAGCGGGTATGGCCTACTTATACGATTATTTCACAATATCATTTAAACACAGTATTTTTCGTTGGTGTTAGTAAGTAACAGTTAATTAATGATAACACCCACATGTCTTTACTTTTGATTTGTCAGTAGACGGTGTGGTGAGTATTTTCTCGAGATCCAACTTGCCGTTTTTTTTATATATATATATATAAATGTCGGCGACGGCTTAATTATTTTCTGTTATGTTTCTTCAATATGATAGTATAATACATTATATACGTACTCCAAGTATCGAAATGCACGCCATTGTGTCGGGATTCAATATTTCGACATCAATTATGTCATCATCAGAAATTAATTGATTGATTAAACTGATTGTTGTGTTAAGGATAGTTTCCATAATATAAAACTTTAGTTCCAAACTGCACAACAGGCCTACTTGGATATACGTCGTAGGATGTGCCAATGGTTTTGTGGTTATAATGTCATTTATGGCATTTGTTATCAGTATTTGATTAATTTAACCCATAAGATCCGACGCTTGTTGTATACATACAATAAAGACAACTAGTTTCAATTTTAGGTTTGTAGAGCGAATAAATGAACTTGAATTTGTATTTGAAAGTTTATGTACTGTAGAGAGAAGCAGCTGATTGAGATTTGGGAATCCGTTAAGATTACGCAATGTAGGCGTACGTTTCAAAAAAGAAAAAAATAGAACACCTGGCGGTACCTAAGTTTGTTTATCGACGCCAACATTCGATCCACTGATTCATTGTACATGATAGATAATATGTCCGATTTTAGTAGGCCTACGAGTTCACATTTTTGTTTGTTTACCTATCAGACAAACCATTACGCGTCATTTATACTCTCTTAAATCACTACTAGTACTACCGTAGTGAACGGAAGCTTAAAATTGTTTTTTTTCCTAACTATATAAAGTTACTTTTTCGATTGATGTAGAAGCCATTTAAGGCCTGTACATTGTTAGGGGTATTTAAAAAAATCGGCCCAGGCCACATAAAATTCATGCTATTTATTAAATCTGTAGTTTATTGTTGTATTTTTAATATTCTTTGTCCCCATGTGTTTACGTCTAATAACAATATATTGAAAAAAACAACTTTCAAAGAAGATTACAAAACAAGGTAATGACAATACTATTAACAAAAAATAATAAAAATTATTAATGACAGTAGTAATAATTGTATTAATAATAGGGGCGAGCTAATAATGATAATAAAATAACAACAATAATGCCTAATAATAATGATAACAATAATAATAATAATAATAATAATAATAATAATAATATAAAAATAATAAAGAATAATGCCTAATAATAATGATAATAAAAATAATAATAATATAACAATAATAATTAAAGATAATAATAATACTATTAATAATAAAAATAAAGTTATTATTATTATTATTGTTATTATTATTATTATTATTATTATCATCATCATCATTTTAATAATTGTTATTGTTATTGTTTGTTTAACGACAACAATAACAATGATAACAATAAAATTACGTCTAATAATATGTTAATAAAATTGAGAATAATAATAATAATAATAATATAATAATATACTAATTAATAATATGGTTGTCAATAATCAACATTAGTAATCGGTAGTTATAATAATAATGATATACATTTTGTATTGCTAAAATAATATAGGCCTACAACGCAAATAATCTAAATACGTAGCATCACCACCTGTCAGTCGCAATAATATAAATGTTAAAACTTTGAATGAATGAAGTTAACTAAAACACCTCCGGACTCAGTCCGTCAGCATCCCGGAGTGTATATGTTTCAATGAGTGTATAAACACAATGTTGCCGGGACTATCTTGGAGTCACAGACTCAACCCAACGTTTATTGTTTTAGCTTTTGTAATAACTTGGTCAGACAACACAGGGCGAAAAGAGGGTATGTATTCCGTTCGTAGTACTGGGAGAGCCGCTGACGTGGGAAAGCGTTTGGCGAAATTCGCATTGTAACCAAACCGATCCGCCTTGGTCTTCAAGTGTTTTTTCTACATAAAATCATCTGAGCTAATTGCTTGTGTCGTAGATGGTTCCCACGAGGTGGCACACGCTACCTTTGGTAATGCTACCACCCATATTGTCGTATAAAAACAAATTTAGACAAAAAAAATGAGCCGAGAACACGCGTGAGTATTATGACGGTCGCTAATACGCAGATAATGATTTTTCTTTGTGTTCCACAATATTACATTTACAATTTTTTAACGACTGTATCGCGGTTTCATTTGACATCAACATTTATTTTACGTCAAATTAACAGCCCCTGTCATCAGCACACGTTTTATTTACGATCGTCTAGTTTACATCATTTAGGGAAAAAAATTTCGATTCATTTGTTTATAATGAGCTAGGCCTTTTAAGATATTTTAAAAATAAATTTCTATTTTTTTTTAGTCATTTCATAAAATCATCTTTTTGACTCTAACCCTTTACCAGTGTAGCGTACCCAGGATTTTGAAAAAGGAGTTGCTTAATAGAAATATTACATCCAAAATTACGCAATGCCCAAAATAGGGGCTAAGAATTGTGTACAGGGCCTATTAGCTTATATGATTTTTGATGAATATTATATGTAGAAGAATATTTGGATGTATATACTGTATATATATATATATATATATATATATATATATATATAATACCTGTGTGTATATATATATAAATATATATATACATATAGGACTATATAAATATTAAAGGTGCGTAGACAAATATTATACGTAAATAATATACACAGATACAATCTGAAATGTTTATATATTGTTATTTTTATATATTAATATACGCTCATAGGAGATATAGTAGCGGCAGTTTGGCGCAGCGGTTGAGGTTTGGGCTTTCAATCGTAAGGTCGGGGTTTCGAGTCTCTGCTGTGCAGATTCGCTTGTGTTCTTGGGCAATGCACTTTAGCTACATTACTTCAGAGACCCAGTTGTATCAAGGGGTACCAGTAAACTGCAAATATGTACATATGTATTGGCCCATGTATACACTGAATTGTTTATAATAAGAATAATATTGAACTGCACTCTAAGTTCATCAGGACGTTTGCATTCTTCCGTTCTGCTTGTAAGATCAAATTGATAACTTAACCCGTTCAACTTACCTGTGCGTACCGGTATTACGCCTCACCTGTCCATTTGCCTTTGATCGACACCAGCTTCTCCGCCAATCACCTATAGTCAGATCGCATTACTCATTTTAAATTAATTACGAACAATTATTTGGACATCAAGCTGTTATGTTACAAAACGCGCTGCGGTCGTAGGACACGCGACCCTCATTTTCAACACAAATCACTTTTCCTTTCCAAGGATAAAACATGCTAATCACCTTCCTTTTAAATTCTTAATGACGTGTGAATTTGTTATAAATAGTTACAAAGTACAAATTAGGTCAGGAGGAGTTGAAATCCATCGTTAGTATTACTCAGTACTGAGAAAGTACGAGTTGAAAAGTCCCATTCCAGTCATTATATTTAATGCATTCATGTCCATTTGATACCGAAAGTTTAGTAGGCTTACAATTTAAACAAGTGATTGACAAAGTAAAGTCGTGCTAGAAAAACAAAAATTGTAATGAATAAAAATTACATATTTAGGTACTTAAGAGGGTGTGGGAAGAAAAACTTTTAAAAATCCAACTCAACTTTCAGGACATTATACGGTTATTTGCATTCATTTCGTCAATATTCTTCAATCGTCCCAAGATCCAAGGCCTTTCTATATTGATTTAGGTTTATCTATAATAATTGTAAATTTAAGGTGAGTAAGAGATACCAATAAACAGTAGGAATATTGTATTTTTTCTTTATTTAAAACGCAGCAGAAGGGGAATCGGACAAAGAATAAACCAGAAACTCACCCACCACCTGGACTACAACAAACGTCATAAACACGTACCGTACTGTAACCACAGGGCGTTGTGGTGAATCTGGGCTCCAGTAGTGCCTAAGTCCTTTCATTATTTTTAATCAAATTATTCAAAACCAAAATTCTCTTATGTTCATTTTACTATTACTTTGTTAATTGTTGTATGCGTATTAATAAGCGTTGTACTTTTATGGTACTGTAAATGCGTATAATTAATAAGCGTTGTACTTTTATGGTGCTGTAAAACATGATATTATTTTTTGCTTATTTGTTGTGAACTACCACAATTATAGCAGGAGGCCCGAACACGAGTCCCGATTAACGATTATATTTAAATCATTACCGCAAGACCTTATATAGTTTGTGTACGGTATATCATGACATGTACTTTATTTTTGGTTATATATAAATATAATGCTTATAGTATTAATCTTTTTTTCAGGTTGTCGAACCGCAAAACAACTTCGAGCTGCAACTAACGCAATGCAAACTAATCGACCAATGTTTTTTCTTCCCCCGGATGTGAGAGAGAGAATGCGAAAACGTCGTGCCTTCGCCGACAAGGAATTGGAATCAACTATGCTGGAACGCGAATGCCAGTGGAGCTTCTATTACACAGCGCATGCTCGCTGGACGAATCCCACAATCCATAGGGTCCAGCAGTCGTCCTCTGCCAGCTTGGCTTTAGAGCGACTTACTGTTGAACCAAAAGCTCACCTACCACCAAGAACCGCAGTCCAAAGACTTTTCCCTGTATTGATCCCATCAGCAGTAAGGACACTAGAGAGTGGCCACCGTAAAGACGTTACGCCACTAGAAGGCGAGTCTATTGCATCCTACTCAGCTCGCGCCAATGAAAAACCTGTGGCGCCATTTTCGACCGTTTCAAATTCCATGTTGAAGAACTTTCATCGGAAACCAGCACAGTTATCTGGCAAGACATGCCATTCTGATGTTAGCGTACACCATTCAGTTTTACCTGTTCTATTCCAAGACAAACAAACAAATGAAAATCGGGAAATTTCAACAAGCAAGGAAACGCATCAACAAAGTTTTGAAAAACGGTTCGATCTGAGTAAGGTTAACAAGATAAAGAACATAACTAATGGCGCGGCAAAGCCGCCGTCTCTACTGTCATTTTCTGTGGAAAGAATAATAGGTTTAGTTAGTTAATTAGTAAATTTTAAAACTTAATGCTGATATTTATCGTATAATTCGGTTAAACCGGTTTAACTAGTAAATGTATACTACTTTAAAAATATAACATTGTGTAATCGATCTGTCTCTCGCTCCCCTCTCCCATTTAAGATAAAGAACATAACAAATGGCACGGCAAAGCCGCCGTCTTTATTGTCATTTTCTTGGAAAGAATAATAGGTTTAGTTAGTTAATTAGTAAATTAGAAAACTCAATGCTGATATTTATCGTATAATTCGGTTAAACTAGTACCGTAAATATATACTACTTAAAAATATAACATTGTGTAATCGATTTATCTGTCTCTCGCTCCCCTCTCCCATCCCACCCACTATTTTGAATTCCTTGATCCGCCACTGAGTTCTGGGACTATGTCAAAAGCTTGACTACTAAATTTTCCTCCTAACGTTTCTTCCGTGATTCGGCTTTCTTCGGATGGAGACACCAATTTTTCCAATTCGCAATTCTAGTTTCCCTCCCTCAGTGATTCTTGCCAATCTAGTTTCCTCTCAAATACTGCTCAAACCTTCCTTTTAAAACTCCTCTCGATATATTTCTAACTTAAACGGTCTCTCTACCCCTTCGGCCACGACCAATGATTCCCTTATATTGAATTAGTTCCCGTTGCCATACACATAGGCCTACTGTAATTGTCCTAATAGTTGTATTGTAAATGATTTGTATATTGTAATTATAATAAGGTACCGTAATAGCATAAGTTGTAATTTTTTAAGAATACAGTTACACAATTTCAATCATAAAAACAAACAGTTTGACGGGAAGTAATAAATTTGAATGCTGAGCTGATAATAATCGATATATTCTTTATCAAAACGATAGACCTATTTGACATCACAATATACCGTCGCTTACATCACGAACTAACACAATCAAAGTAGATTATGTTAGTTCGTGAAATCAAGAAAGCGCGTCAAAATACTTGCTGTTGTTGTTAAGGACTTTTTGTGTGGTAGAGAATACAAAATTGCTTGACAACCAATACGCGCTCGTTTGGACGCGCTACTGTGTTAGTTCGTGATGTGAGCGACGATACGTTTCCTTTAATCTGATGACACACAGCTTTATCTTTCTTTAGAAAAGAACAATTATCCATATGCAGTCCAATTATTATTATATTTTACAGTTTTGGTATTGTATATCTTATATAATTTTTATTTAAGTTACTTATTGCACATTAAAACATCAAGAAAAAACATATAACCGTAGTAAAATAGATTGACTGAAAACGTTATATTTACATAAAATATAAAATTGCATAATTTAATAATAATTTGAAAGTTTCATGTTTCGTAATTTTACAATGTTAAATAACCTATTATTATTATTATTATTATTATTATTATTATTATTATTATTATTATTATTATTATTATTATTATTATTATTATTATTATTATTATTATTTCAAAAATCCCAGAGATACAAGACACAGGAGAGCCAACAAGTTGTTATACAACAGTTATTTTGTCGAATACTTAATTTACTTCACTATTATATTTATTCTTCAACTACACGTATTTGATTACATGAATATAAGTTGCATATTAACTGTGTAAGTCGCACTATTATAGATTACACCACGATGACGGATGACGTAAGCAAAGAAGTATATATTCACGAAGATAATATAAATATCGGACAATGCATTAGGCCCCGTAACATTGGATTAGTTAATTGGTAGCATTATCATGTTTCTCTGTATAGAATTAGTCCGCTTTACGCACTTCACTTTGGCAGACAATTGAAACTCATCCTCAAGAGTTTACATTCACTAATTCTCCGCAATTCTACGGATTTGCCGAGTTGTATCGTTTGTATATAAATAGATATACGGTTACAAAACACAGTAAGGTCTTTAAAAATATGTAAATATTTCGTGTAATATAATACTAATTAATGTAATTGATCTACTGTACATACAGAGATACATTTGTGATTTATATGTAAACTTGGTATGGCTAGTGTAGACGCTCAATTTCGTTGTATATCATAAATGTTATATTTAATCCGCTGTAAATTCGGTCCTCGGATGACATGATTGAGGCATGGGTGAATGGCGGATTAATATTGTTAAGTCGAAGTTGTGTAACGTGTATGTAGCCCCTACGTGCGCTCAGAAGTTTTCTTAATTCGTAAGGCAAATAAACCAACCAATCAGCTTTAAAGCTGTAATATGGTTTATATGGAAATGCGTAAGACGTGTAGGTAGGATGATACTGCAAGGATCGTAAAAGCCAATAGAATTGAACGCCCTTTGCTTGATAGTTCAAAATTTACAATTTCGAGAATGATGTTTTTATCTGTCTGCATAATTAACAATAGCAAGTCTGTCACACCTGTCAATTATTTTTCGTAGTGTTAATAAAATGTTGTACTACGAAAAAAAAATGGATTGTTTTGGTCATTGTCTTATTCGAAATTTACAACTTTTCACCTGACACCTCTTTATGACTTAAAGTGATACGGTAATGATAATAATGATAATAATAATAATAACAATAATAATAATTAATAATAATAAATAATAATTAATAATGATAATAATAATAATAATAATAATAATAATAATAATAATAATAATAATAAAAATAATAACTGTTCGAAGATATGTGTGTAATAATACATATATATAAAATAATTAATAATAATAATTAATAATAATAATAATTAATAATAATAATAAATAGTAATAATAATGATAATAATAATAATAATAATAATAATAATAATAATAATAATAATAACTGTTTTGTGTGTAATAATATAGGTCTATTAATGCTTGCGGTACACCGCCTAGATAGTTCTGACAGCTCTTTTCAGAACGTGGTATACGGTAAGCATTAATATAATAATAATAATAATAATAATAATAATAATAATAATAATAATAATTTCAATATGCCGATCACAGTTATATTTTATCTCAGTAATCATTTGTGCAATCGTTACGATTACACACTTTACATCGACAAGTTAAATGACACATCACCCACTACAGACCATACACAGTCTTTGTTCACTCCCTCGTTCGCGCAGTTCATGACGTCACCGAAACGTGCTTACCACCAGGTCGTGGAGATCACTACAATGACAATTATTAATCATTCTAAGACTGGCATACCTAATCACTGTACATATGTCAAAAACCATCACTTAAATAAAGCAATAAGCAGGAGGCTACAGCAGGCCCAGTTGGTAGTCGATGATGGTCGGTCGTTAGCCTAACACCCTACATACCACTGGAGCTCTAGTTCAGCGACGTGTATTGGACCCGGTGCTGGCTTAAATTTCATACTGTCAACACTTAATCTACATCTAAACAAGATCTAACGTAATATATTACTTTTGTATTAGTTTATATAGATAATATATACATATATTTATTTCTCATGATAAACTCTAGACCGTCTTGCGCTGTTGCTCTCTGCTTATATCAATTTCATGTATTTTGTTTATTGTTTTCATTATTGTAAGTGATAACGAGGAATAAGAGAGTGAAAGTCCTCCTATCCGGGATTTTAATTTCTGACAAGAATTGGAACTCGTAGTGCCTCCAGAAATTTTCCGACGTAGGGGACGAACCAAGCCACCCACTAGAGCCTCGATCAGGGTCACGAATATAATTTCCAGGTAGGGTTCATGGTTATGGTTTAGTATGGCCCAAAATTGTGCTTTTAGGCCACAGTATGGGATTGGCAACCTTAAAAAACCCAGCCCCCACCCGCTGGCACGGTGTACCACTACTGGATTGAGCCAGGACCATCAGATAATTGTAAAGCAAGCATAATAACTAACTTGGGCTTCGGTGGAAATTCTAATCGATTTATAGCAACTAATTTTCACGTTCTCTTGCAGATTTCCGTAATTAATAGCAATAGTTCATAGCGCACTAACCCGAATTTAATAATGATACATCCTCATCTAAAGCAAATATAGGCCTGTATATAAATAATGATGAAAGAAAAAAAACTGTTATCTTGTAAAATCCGGGGGGAAGCAAGTAGGCCTGTCAGAGATATTTCAGTGAATTACAAAGAAATCAAAATTATACAATATGTAGATGATACAACAGGTACGCTGGAAAAGGAACAATTTGTGCATAACCTATTTAATTTACTAGACATATTTGGTAATGTTTCGGGCTTGAAATTGAATGCAAGTAAGTCACAAGCAATGTGGTTGGGGTCAGATAAATTTTGTAAAAAAAATATTTGGTGTAGATTTGACTTTGTCAGGTTAAATTATTCTAATTAAAACATGTGGGCTCTCTCAATTTATTCGTTTGGCCTCTGTTATTCACATTCCAATTAATATTATAAATCAGATTGACAAAATTGTTTATAATTTTTTGTGGAAAAGAGGCAAGGGCTTTATTAAAACATTAAAAATTCAATGGATGGATCAAACGCTATCAAAAAAGTACTGCTTCTTGGAAATGTCTTTTAAATTCTTTTATTGCCCCATGTGGTGGATGTATAATATTTAATTGTAATATGAAAGAAAAATAGGTGTTTATATTGAAGAATGTTCCACAATCGTATATTAAGACGTGTTTGTGTTTTACTTTGATTTTACTAAACCATGCAAGGTGTATGTTATCTCACAATGTATTTGGAATAATTTCAACATTAGAATTAACGGTAAACCCTGTCTTTATGTTCCACTGCATAACAGGGGGATGGAATTGGTAAGTGATCTTTTTAATGATAATGGGAAAGTTTCTTCCTTTGACTTTTGGCTTGCCAAAGGCATAACAAAAACTTGTTTTTCAAAATGGAGAAGTGTGATTGCTTCAATTCCATCCACCTGGAGGGCGACTTTGAGTCAGGGCAAAGAGTATAAATAGAACAAGAGAGCCAACAACGCTCATTGGGAGCGTAAAAAAACGATACGCTCTACGCAGCTAGTGTAGGACGCCAACTAACGCTTGTATATGTTTTATTACCCAGTACTGCACCGCGCACTGTAGGTTTGTCTGTTTATCTGTTCTCCACAAGATACTGTGCTTTTGTTTTCTGCCTACTGAGTTTTTAGCGGGCGTACTTCTACCGCGCTGCGCAGCGCTGCGCTGGGTAATAAAAAGAATATACAACCGTTAGTTGGCGTCCTACACAGGCATGACGTTCTTACGAACGGGACTTTGCTCTCTTGTTCTATTTATAGACATTGAGTCAGGGTTTTAAATGAAAGGATTGAAAAAGGAAGAGTCTCCAAATGTTTGAGGAGGAAAGAAGGACAACAAAAGCAATTTATCACATAATAATTCATAGATTTATTGAATCACCTACCGCCTAATTAAAAGATAGTAGTGAATTATATGAAAACGAGTGGAATCATATTTATTCTTTACCTTTCAAGTGTTGTCAAGATACAAGTACCCAGGTTTTTTTCAGTATAAAATCAACACAAATTGTCTTATGACAAATACAAGATTTTTTCGTTCTAAGAACGTTATAATAACGTTACAGTTTGGTTATAAAAACGTTATTTTGTAGAACCATATGTACGTACTTATAACCTAATTTTACAACCTCACAACTTTTGAACGTTCTTACAACGTTGTGTGAACGTTATTTGGTGACATTCCGTTTGGTGTTTGCTCACTCTGTAAAATACACAGTGAAACAATGAGACATCAGAGTAAAACCAATATGGACAAGCTTTCAAATCATTTTTTTTTTTGGGTTAATTTTCTTAAACCTGACTTGCTGTTAAAAATGACATTTGGGAGCCGAATTGGAAATTTTTTAGCTAGCTTTCAATATATCAAAAAGTGGAAATAAACATTGTCATGGAGAGAAATACTTTGTATAAGTTCTAAATGAAGTAAAATAGTTGATTTTTTCGGAATTGCCCAGGGGTTATTTATTTGTATCAACAAAATATAAATAAATAAAATAAAAGGAATTTGTAAAATTAAGGTTTAAAAGAAAGTTGTAAATTTATGTGGTTTGTTTATGTGTAGGTTAAATAAATGATGGTTGTTCATTATGTTAAAGGTACGGTGAAAAAAAAGAGGTATCTTCTGTTTTCATGGAGACAGGTGTACAATCATGATGGTTGGGTTTGTAGAGTTGGTGGAGTGGAGCGGTGCGACGGAGGGTTGCGCTGGGTCGTCGGTTGGTTGTTTCTGGGATGGGTCCTCTTGGTCCGGGCTTGCTTTTGGTTCTCTGTGTTTTTAATGCGGAGGATTGGCGGCGGGTTCGGATTAAGAGTATTTGCCTCAGAGGTGATTGTTCTGTGTTCTATTTCAGTGCGATACAATAGTCGGACAGCAGCAGTAGCAGTCGTTGCGACAGTTAGCAGTAATAGTAATGTAGCTGTGTGTTGCATTAGAAATATATATTTGATGTGGTGGTTTCATGGAGGTCTTTATGAGTCAGTGTTCATATACTGTCTCTTATACACATCTAGATGTGTATAAGAGACAGCCCCCACCAGCTTCATCCCCACCCGGGTCACCACCTCCAGCTTTATATATTGTATATACACTGTATTTGTATATATACGTGTTAGCTAATAGACAATACAGTGTGCTATATCGTTCGTGTGTAACGACATCAATAGTGATGGACATTAGTTGGCTTACAAGGTAACATTAAAATCCGTTAGTGTGAATGTAAGTTAATAATTATTACATTATTAATTACAATTTTATTTATTTCTTCATTTTCCCGTCCATACAAAGAAAAGTAGCTGATAAGACTTTAAAATATCAAAGCCAAGATTTTAACCATTGTGCTGCATATATATTTTTTGTGTTTATACAAGAAATTAATAGATAAATCATCGTATTTTTTTAATTCATAAAGAGGATAATATATTTTCTAATAGCAGTTTTGTGTTACATATCAAGCCTCAAGATCACTGTGAATTTGTTAGTTTTCTTTTGAGTTAACTCACAGACGAACGCCGTGAAAATAATACTAATTGTAGATCAGTAGCCTTTAACTATGTCAATGTTCGCAAGAATAGTACAAATAACCTTTACTTTGACCCAACTCGCCTCTCTACAGTCGGTAGAAACTTTACGCTAGGTAATTTGTAACTGAAGGAGAGTAGTATTCTCTCCCGTCATAACCGGGTCTCAACTTGCGCAGCCCGGTGAGTATGTATATCCTATCCGTATGTA